ACAAGCTGTTTTCAAACTACTTTATATGAAGGGATTAAAGGGGTATTAAAGCCCACACAATGTAAGCCCACAAGCCTGTTCATAAAAATTGAGTTGTTTTGAATATACAAGATTTTAAAAAGGCACTTTTCCTACTCAAATTGTGTAGTGCTCAGCGTTTTAGGTTCTGCAGAATCCTAACTTAAGGGCTTTATCTGCCACCTCAGTGCCATAAACTCGTGCAAGTTGGCCAAGTAAGTGAAGGCGCATGCCAGTCGAGAAGAATTGAATTTCGGAGCTGTATCGAATGGAGTTTGAGTGCTTCTCATGGCGGGCATCATCGGGGGCCATTGTGGCAATCCAACTGCCGGGCTAGACAATCGTTGGCAACTGCTCAAGTATCTCATGGATATGGATATGGATATGGATATGGAAATGAAAATGGGCATGGGTATGGGATGCACCGCCTGCCTCATGCAGTCGCAATTGTGTCAACGCTGCACATTGTCGCTTTTTCTCACATTACCAGTGCCAGCGAGTCTGAGTAACTGAATCCACTCGAGCGACTTGATGCCTTGCTTTCTATCGCCGGCTAATTTGCAACTTTCCACATGCCACCAAGTGCTGCACAGTCCGCCCCGGGGGCTGCGAGGAGTGCGGCAGTGGGTGCAGTCATCTGGGGAGATGTGAAAATGTTGATGTTACGCTTGATTTTTTCAGCGATTTATGTGTCATTGTTTCGGCGCTTGGAATTACCCAGACTCACTCTCATTGAGGAGGTAATGTGGTGTGGATAACTTTCCCTCCTCGCGATTGTTTCCAAGTGCGTGTCGGGCGGAAGTTGGCTTCACGGCTTGATCTGAGCCAGGTGATGTAATGATAGTGGGTGCTGCTGATGGTGATTAGCCGAATTAGTGCTGCATTTGAAAGGAAAGTTTTTCGCCTGAATAGCCAGCTAAACGATTTTCGCTTGCCTTCAGCTAATTCAATTTTGATATCACAAGGTGGTTGGGTCATTGAAGTCCACATAACACTATTTGTGAAATGTTTGCCGATCAACAACTGGAGGCGAGAACAAGGGAAGCTACTCAGCGATCTCATTCGCTGATGATGTCCCCCACGCGCAACTCTGCCGTCTGGCTTGGGTTTACACACCTAGGCAGTAGGTTATGTCCGAGGCCTGGTTATTAACGAAATCCCTGCAGAGGCATCTACGAGATTGTTTCTCGAAAATGATTTAGTGTACGGCAATTTTTGTGGATGAAAGTGAACGGCAACGACTGCGATTACAATGGAATGCTGACTTGGGGATTGCTGTTTAATTGTGATACAGATTACCATAAAGTGTGTCAACCATATTGACAAATGCAAATGATCCACTTTCAAAGTGAGACTGTCGCCGCCTTTCCAGCGCCTCTTACGACACTGCCATTGAAGTATCCATCGAGGCCCACCAATTCGGGGCTCTGGCTTAGTTGACTCGATTGCTTACTCGAGGCTGAGGCTTGTTAGGCTCCCAGAGCCACCTGGCCATTATGTCATGTTTGTGTTTCCGATTCCGACCTATAATAGAACTTGGCACGCAGTTGCCGAAAGTGCCAGAAGTCAATTAAAAGCCCATTATCCACACCATGAATGTGGATGCTGGCCGAAAGAACTGCCTGTGGATTTGTTTAATAAACAATTTCCGTTTTGATTTCAGGCCACGCCGGGGTGAGGGTTGAGGATTCCCCCGAACCGGAGCCAATTAACCCGGCTGCTTCTGATGCGGCCAATTATGCCAGCTTGAGTGAGAAGAGTCACCCGCTGCCTGCCGCTGCGGACGGCTTCTGTTAGCTGCTGGCGAGTGGGTCGCTGGTGCAACTAATTGGTGCCTTGGCTCAGGTGGTTTTGCTCCCGATCCCTCTCCCGATGGGAAGTAGTAGCCTCATTTTGTCGGCGCGGTATACCGCGTTCCTTGCGCTTCAATGCCTTCGCATTTTTCGCGTGCGCTGCGTAAAATTAGCCAGCAATTCGCTCTGGCTTCCCCAGTTCATTGATTGTTTGGTTCCCTGATCGATCCGCTCGGATTGCAATTGGCTTCGTTTGGTATTTTTGCCTTTAGGCAAAAGCCGACAAATGTAGCCTCCGAGGAGGAACTGCAGCTCACACCAAGTCGATGTCATAGGAAGCCGAAACAGCTGCTGGATTCCTTAACCCTGTGCGCTTACTTTGAATTGACGAATCTAAGAACTGCCTGAACCTATGAGCTAATTACTCACTAGTATGTTATACTAGCTTTCTTTTAGACTTAGGATTTCATAATGTAATTGATCGCTTTTATCTAGCTTACTTAAGAAACAGTAACCCTTCAATAGTATTAACAATTTTAGGTGGGGGATTGAGATGCTTCCAAAGGTTAAGACGGGTAGGATATGGCCGATCGACGAGTCCGCGGGCATATTAGACTTTACGAACAGTCAATTAGTGCTTCAGCGGTAGTCGGAGAACATAGGAAGGCATAGGAAAGGGACTTCCCCTTCGGCAGGGCCAGCTTCCACCGGAAAATATTTGTTTCCGTTCTTCGCTCCGTCCATTCTATGGGCAGGAAAATAAATTACAATTGAATGCAGCAAACATGCAACATAATTATTCGCTGCGGATCGCGGCGGATGTTTATTATCAAGTGGACGCGCAGCGACGACATCATTAGCCTCTGTCCCTGGTCGCTGCCCACCAGTGGACCTCTCCGCCGCCCTTTTCCAGGCCGACAACAGTAAAAGTGGCCCAGGCATGCTAATCCGGAAGTAGGTCGTTTTCCGAACGCAAATGAAAGCGTGTGCTCGGGCCGAACTCGAGCTGAAAAGCGCTGAAAATCATAGCCAAACATATGTATGGGAAATTGAAACCGAAACCTTCAGTGAAAAGCAGCTCCAAATGGGTCTCGCAGACGGAGCCATTGTGACTATAATACGGCAATCAAAATTAGAAAGAAGTAAGTCATCATCTCTGTGCGGGAATGGCGTGCTGGGAATAGCTAGGGCTCATACATCACCATCCAACTTATGGGAAAGCGATATTAAGCTATGGAAACCTGTCTACTTTAAAAGTTATTTGATTATTGAGAGATAGGAAATAAAGAAATATATTTGTTTCAGTAGACTATTGATCCTGTTCAAGAATATATACAACAACTATATCAACTGAATATGGAGTTCAGGTAACTTACATATACTAAGGCTTTTAAGCCACCCAATTGAGAGAAAAAAACACACATAAAAGCCGAGGGAGGCGACATCTTTGCCTCCTTCAACCCAACTCACTACCTTTTATAATTCTAGAGGCACCATCAATCATACATGCGTTCTATTCTGATTAAGAAAATCTCCACTTTATAGGGTTGAACAATATTCCTCATTCTCTTAAGAGAGGGCATTATACCCTTTTACTTTACGAGTAACGGGTACTACAAAATCAAATATTATAAAAATGATATTTTTTATTAATCGAGAGTTAGCAGTCATAGCCTGGCCCTAATAGGTTTTTTCGTTCTAAGGATATAGTTTTCTGATTTCAGCAAATTATAACAGATGCTTCGGGCCTTCCATATACAGAGACCACTAATGTGTGGGGTTCGTCAAAATAGATTTACCATTTGGCCTCTTAATTGAATTTTAAATGCGCATTTAGGTAAAATATTTTGTTCCGATTTCCTTCTAGGGTTCATTTCAATGGGCTGTCAATATAAGACCAAAGTTGGCTTGGATTACAAGGCGGCAGCGACTTTGCCCATCTGAGGAGCCGCGCCAATATGGGCAGTATGCTGCGAGCTCCAACCACGCAAAAGCGAGCCACTTGCTCATATCGCTATGATTCCAACAATTAGCAGTGGACACCTACCCAGATGGGGAGGCGGTCCACGGAGTGACCGTCCGCCCACGAGTTGGCCATGCCTCAGTTTCACGAATCCCACGTCCAATTTCGCTTTCAGTTTGACTTTAATTTACATACTCGGAATGTGGGCGAAATTTAAGTATGATTGCTTCTCATTCTACGCGCTCTTTGCTGTTGGAAAATTTGAATTGCAGTTTCACTTTGGGTCAAAGACAATGACGTGCCTTTCTATGCTTGCATTTTTATGTTCATTTTGGTTGGGAAATCACTTCAAGATTATCTGAGTATTACTACTATAACTAAACTTAACTTATAACTTAAATAAAGAGTCAGGTAACATATGAACATCCTTCGAATTCAGATTGTCCCATCCTCGAATGGTATTGATCAATGCCATAAGGTTCATGGTGGTCTGTAAGTCCGAAGGTCGGATGTTAAAAGGCTTACTGCTTCTTAAAGCCAAAGTACGCAAAGTGCAATCGGCGAAAAGATCTTAAGAATCGGTGTTGCAGATTATGGTTGACTCTTAGAAATAAATAAAACTCCTACGGCTGCCATAAGAAGAGGGGATTTCTCTAAGTGGGACCTATTGGTCTTGCAGATAAGAGTTTACTTTACGAAGACCTTATGTAACCGGGAAACCGTCTATATAAGCAAGGGGCTTGTGCCTTCAATACCTAAATACAGCAGATCCTTCGAGATGGAGTAGTTTTATTATTATATTACTAAAGAAGGTAGGGACAGAGATGAAAGGAGTAAGTCTCAAGCTTCTGGAATCGCATGTGCAGCTGGAAGATAAGCGAGACCTACGAAGTTGTGCCAAGATGAACTCAGTGGAAAGGTTGGGCTCCGGCTTGCTGTTACGGGTGCCAAGCAAGCAAAAAGGTTCATAGAACTTATAAGAAAGCTGACCGAAGATGACCGAGCAATCCAAGCAAATATCCGGAGTAGGTTTTAAGACAGTCTTAAGTCCACCTGGTCTGTTTTTTACAATTACCTAGCGATAATCTACGTCGTAGTATACTCTTGAGTCATGACACGACCCACCGTGTATGATCTCGTTAGTCGGTATAAATTAGATTCACAACGCTAGCCTTAGTTGTCTGGGATACTCGAAGTCTCTACACTACAAGGAATAACGTTCTACAATGAACTACTTAGTGCTGCTCATAATTTTCTGTAAGTTTCGAGGAATGTTCCCGATTTCCAGAGCCTCCTTATATTCTTCGCCACGCAGCTTTCATTTGTCCTTGGCACTGCTCCGAAGCTGCTCCATTGATAAGCATACAGTCTAACTCCCGATCAAGGTCACAGAGAACGATGGGCGGCCTTTTGAGAACTGTCTACGACATCAGTGTTCAGGACAACGTAAACGACTCGACCGGGCAATTGGTGCACACCCGACAGGCTGCCTTCGACTCGGATCTTATGAGTCCGGCAGAACTGAAACAAGCTCGCCAGCAGTTGGTAGTGATCTAGAAATAGAGATCCTTTTTTCTAGATTTTTCCTTGGTAAGCAGTGCCTATCCTCCATCAACCAAAGCTTGAGAGGAGATATTAAGCATAAACGCCTTTAAGCTAATATTTTTCAATGAGAAAGGCATCAAAAGGGTAATCATGTCGCTTATGTTTGATTTCCTAATAGATTAAGGAAATACCTTAAAATAAAATTACAATTTTATAAAGGTGAAAACTTACTTCCAAAACTTCACTCACTTTTCAGAAGAGAAAGTAAAAACGACAGTTGGCAGAAGAGCAGAGAGAGGGTCGGTAAATAAAATACCCAAATTGAAAGTCGTAAACAATCGTCTGGACATACCTTATTTGTAATGGGATCAGTATTAAGCGTTACTATGGCGCCTCTTTAACATAGTTTTACCGTTTGATGAGGCTCACCTTTCCACAGTCATTTACCTGCCCCTAGCGACCTGTGGTCTCTCGGCGATCTTGCCCGTCTGCCCTAATTTTCTTGATAAGAATGGTTCGCCCTAACAGGTATTCAGTGTAGGGCTACTAAAACGCCCTTTCTCTGCTTGAGAGCGTTTCGGGTGACAGATTTATGCATAATTTCAGTTTGAGGATCGACCCCTTTCCCCGCTTTCCTCACAGCTTGAGGCCCTACTTGTCTGAAATTTATGATTTATTTTATTGCCGACCATTGGAAACTAAGTGGGTCGGATGGCCCTATAGTCTGGTCCCCGAATTGGTGGATGCTGTATCGGGCAAAGTGTTCCTTAGACCACGTTGATGGTCTGTAAGTCCTGTCAGAGGTTAGGATAAGTCTATCGTTGATATCGATAGGAAGACTATACTATATAAAGGTAAAAGATTGTGCCGATGTTAACGCGGTCTTAACTAAAATATTACCTTTGGCTCGTTGAAGCTAACTTCCTGTCTCATTTTACAGATGCAACTCATTTAGTTACTCCTGACAAGAGTTCATCAGCCAACAAGCACCGAAGCCCCCTGTCTAACTCCGTCTTCTTTTTACGAGCAGCACTCAGTAAATGTGTCACGTAATCAAACACGAAAGTGTACAAAAATGAATTTCATATAAACACATGCTTAGATGTAAGAATGATATTTGTATTTAAGGCACATGACAGTCCATTATGAACATAAAAACAAAAGATATATGTGCTCGCATACCAACTCATTTCTCATATCATTTATATTACTGGCCATAAGACCGAATCCGGCCAACAAAATATTCGTCCGAGAGGCAAAGCCGCTTTGTCATGTTGATGACAGCTTCAGCGAAGACGGACTGAGTTATAAACTTCTGAGTTTGGCAGAGAGTAAGCTCTCTACTACTCCTTCAATGTGATTGTGAAAAACATAACTTCAGGGTAGAAGAATCCAAAATATCGAGCAACACCTAATAATTTTGGATTGGGCTTGGCAATCCCTAGCTCTTATTTAGTACCGCATCCGAACTAAGAGAGAGATAACCCAACTCATAGATGAGTAATTAATTTAAATTTAACCCTGTCCGCCGCAGTGGCCAACACTCTCTGATTTCTACCTGAGTGGCGAGTCAAGTGAACACCTGGCCAAGGCTGCAGTCTGGGCACTTCACTGCCAAGTGCGTACTACTTAGCCGGCTCTCACTCTGGGTCGTTGCTTTTCAAATGACTTTTGTATCGATTGGCAAAGGACAATGGAAATTAAATCGCATTCGATGCGACTCAGGACAGGAAACGGAAACGAAATACAACCGAAACATCGATTCCCATTCAGTGGAGACATCCTGCGGTGTCTTTGTGTCGCTTGAAGTGAATCCAGGCCCATGAATGAACCCAGGAGTTGCCTACACGAAAATACGTTTCCACTCATTGTCTATTCGATGCTGTTTATCTCAAGCTGGGAACTTTTTCATCTGCCTCTCGGCTAGTTTTCCTGTTAGACCAGCACTAAGAGAGGAACCCCCTGGGTTTGGCAAGCAAAAGCTAATATATCAGCTATATATTGCTCTATTCTCAAGAAGAGAAGGGTCTGCGTATGCAGAGTACAATTCGTCGATGCAGATCCTAGAACTTCTATATTTCGTATACTTCTTAGTGCTTAGATAAGTTAATTTATAATGCAATCCATAGAGAAGGATCATAAAAAGAAGCAATGCTTAGCCCCTGCGTGTAACAACAGCCAGTTGAGAAAGGGTCTTAATTAGAATGAGGCACTTCCAGGTGTATCAGAACATTGATTTGCCCAAAGAAAGGAAGTTTTATGTTACTTATCTGAGTGAACTTCAAGTTGTTAGCAACACGAACAAACACAATGTGTTTATGTGCACAGCTGGATGCTCAACCTATTAAGATAAGATAAGATTCGATTTATGGCACCGACACGGAGTCCGCGGACAATTATTATGATCCAATTGCAAATAAGTGCTTCGAATCATAAACAACATGAGAGGGCCTGCACAACGGCTTCTTTTTGCGTCACTTGCAGATGGGTATCCGTTTCCTGCGGCAGGACAGCCACATGAGTTGACATTCAGCGGGAGATAAGCACAGTTGTGTAAATAAATAATAGTAGTAAGTATTTCCTTCTAGGAAGCAGGACCAGTTAAAGCATTAAATGTCAACTTTACCGACTGGAATACTAATGTGGATACCAACTATTCGATATGCAAATGAACAAAAACTTTAATTTCAACAATTTGTCGGTGAATTGTCTCCGAATTTTGTTTTTTGCAAACTTTATTGGGGGAATTTGCAATTCGCCAATTTATCATAAGAACTGAAAAACAGAATCGAAAGCTCAAATAAATATTTAGTTAATAATAAAATAATAAATTTGATTTGTTTGTTATTGCAGCTGGTGTTAAGTCTGCCCGTCAGTGCTTCGTGTTTCCTGCAGTGAAAATAAATAAGGGAAATCATCGACTGTGATACATCAACAAATTGAAAATTGACACGATTAAAGAGGATGAGTCAACCGAGTTATTTGCTAGAAGAGATTCTCAACACCCTTTTTTCCATCCATATAAAAAGTACATAAGGAGTATCGACAGTTTTTTTCATTAGATGTTTTTCTTTTTCAGAGTTCCCTTTCAATTGAAGTGTTCAGAAAGATTCCTATCCATTTAATTAACCTCCCTCCTGCTTTCCTTTGGCCGAATTAGCGCACTTGTCCCCACAAATGGCCAAATTGGGGGCTAATCAGTTAATTGCCTGGCTCTAGCTGGCCTATTGTGCGTAGCCTTCTACTGGAGTTGGCCCGAGCAAACTTCAATTGTTTAAACAATCAAACAAGCAAATCACAAAAAGCACACGCCCGTGAAGCCGCGACAGGACGTGATTTCTGACTCAGGATTTCTGAGCTCTGGCAGAGTCCAAAGCTTGGAATATTTTAATCTGCGCGGGGAAATTGGGAGACTGCTCAATTCGTGGCCAATTTTCCGACTCTCTAACTCAGCTCCCACGCCTGTCTTCTGCAGGCCAGGTTTTCTGTGGCTGTGCGGTTTTTGATTCACGTTTTGCTAATTTCTTCAAATCCATCTTCTTGCCTCGTTGTCTCGCATTTTCCTTCGGCATGGCGTTCCCCGATTCCCCCGATTGAAAGTGAAAAGCTGAAAGTGTGAGTGAAAATGATTTGCAATCAAACCACTTTGATTAGAGCATTCATTTTGATTAGCTCTAATGAGGCGGGCGACTGTCGGCAGGCGTGTGTACATAAGTGTCGATATCTGTAATTGCCGAGTCCGTTTATGCAATTCTCTTGCCAAGAGGGGGCTCGCCCTCGTTTGGGGCACCCGCACAGTAGGGAAATAGATTTCAAATTTTGTTCCACCCGAAAATAATAATCAACAAAGTCAGCGGACCACAAAATTAATTTGGGCTTCTGTTGCTGTTTCTCAGATCCGCACCACATGAGTCGATCACATGCGGCCATACACTGCCTGAAAGGGGTACTCCACCTTTTGGAAGAGGAAAACCGAAATATGTGTGTCAATTTTGTGTTGTTACCTCAACATACAACAAAAACACAAAAGTAAGTACTTATTCCAATGACATACTTTAGGGTATCCATCTGGGATGATTACTCGTAGGGTGTACACCCTTCGATGAACTTGTTTCCTCAATTTTTATGTCTGGGCTTTCAACCAAGTGGCACTTGTTCTGATTAACCCTTTGCTGGAAGCCCAAATAATTATAAATTAATGTGTAACCAGCCGCCGTTCATTCCACCCCTTCCCTTCGCCCTTTCTGTCCATTGTTTCGCTTTTCTGCTTCTGGAAATGCAATTTGTGGGGCTCGTATTGGCTTTAATTGAGCCGCTTTTGAAGTTGTGCCTGGCACATATTTGGATTCTGAAACATTATTTTTATGAAAAACAAAAATGAAGCCCCAGACCCAGCAGACGATTTAAGAACACAAATATAATATAACTCTTTAGCCTCCGACAACAGTACTTTGAAGAAAGATCAAGTCCGTAAGATCGATTTCCACCTTGATCAATAACGAATCACGTAACAAGATTACGTATATCCAATTATTTGCACGGTCACTGACAAAAGCCGACTTTTAGTAAGAGTGAGTATATTCTTGTTGAGGGCGATGGAGGTCTTGAAAACCATAGGTATGGGCATGTACTAAGGGCACTCATTGGCTAATATTGATTTTCGCGTTTGCACCGTTTGCAGTCGTTGTTGGGCTGTCTTTAATGCTCTTCGCTAAGCGAAATCAAAAGTGGTACCATATGCACAAAGGCATCCCATACCCCGTTCTAGGACCGACCATTTAGGGTTAGCCACTGCCATAAAGTTTCTTCGTAATGGCATCATAAGGTATGTTGAGTTGTGGCTGCGTGGAAGGCCTTCAGCTGAGGGATGCCTTTTGCATGCAGATAGCCAGAAACGGCAGTTGAAAAGCTATCGCTAAAGGAACATGCAGAGCGACATTTCCATATTTCCATATTAACAAGAGGAATAGAGTTGTGTAAATAAAAGTTAAGCCTTCATTTTCGCGTGCCTAAGTATCAGATGGGTTGAAATCAGTTAAGAGCGAAGTCAAAATTGGAAATCTATGCCATTCGAAAGGTGTTTCAAACTACCTCTGCGATTCTACATAAGCCTCACATCTAACGAAACTATCATTGACTCTTAATACTCGTGGGGCGCATTCAAAGCTGGCTGAGACCATTTGTCGGCCATCGCATGGGCCCATTCAAAAGGCTGAGATGTGTTAACATGTAAATTGATATCTCAAGATTGTCCAATGCTTAACGGCTGAGAACGAACGCAAACAGGGTGAATTTAACGATCGGCGGAAGAGGCAAAGAAAGATTCGAATAAACCTATTTACATACTATACGCGATGAATGAACTCGGTAATGATGCCCTACAAATGGATTAACCGCCGATGGCCCGATCAATGGGGCTGTCGTGTGGTTTTGTGCTGTCCACTGTCGGCTCGCACCCAGGCCAGGGTCTCTTTCATTGACTTCATTGATAAAACTTGTTGGTGCTGTCGCTTCCTCTCCGTAAGTGGTTTTTTCTCCCAGTTTCGTCGCATTTTTTCCAACGCAAATCTTGTCGGCCGGATCTGGTTGGCTGGTCGGCTGGTCTTCTGGTCAGTTTGTCTCTCCCTGGCCGGTGTTGATGTCATGTGACTCCCGTGGCCCAGAAGACTCTTGGCGGAAGTTGATATGGGAAATGGAATTGAGTAGCAAATGGTTCGACGCTACTTCCCCAAACACAGAACTTATATCGCCGAAAATGTTGATTCAAGTAATTTAGATAAATCCGAGATCAATCTTCACTTTTCCTCTTGTTTTGCTCCCCACTTACTTCCCCTAATCCTCTCTTTATTGATATTAAGTTAAGTTGGTTATACATCCCCTACTTGTTAAATACAAATTCAGGGACCATTTCTTTGCAATTTTATTAATGCCCATGCAAGAACTTGGAATAGATAAATGCATACATATACTAAGTACCGGAGATTAACATATATGTGTGTGTGTCTCCCTTGTGTGTGGGTGCGCAGGCCCCGGTAAGGTTAAGCTGCTGCTGCTGCTGCTGCTCCTTGAGGATGGGACATCCTCCGCCTAACCCGCCAGGGGGTCGGCTTGAACTTCGTCCAGTTTTTGGGGTTCAGCTCCTGGGACCGGAACCAAGGGTTCCGCGTTAGCGGAAAGGGCCACGAAGTTGGCATCACCTCCGGCGGCCTGAGGTCCCTTTGATTCCAGCGGTGAGGCTGCTGGCAAAGGATTCGGATTTGCTTCAGCAGCCGGATTGGGATTTGCAGCCGGGTCGGCTACGGGTTCAGGATCGGCCACGGGCTCCGCCTTCGGGTTAGGGTCAGCCACTGGACTAGGAGCAGGAACTGGCTCGGGCAGTGGAGAGCCGTAGGCGCTGTGAAGCACAACAAACGTCGCCACTAACAGAATCACAGCGGCTACTTTTAGTTTATCAAACGTCGGTCGATAAGGAAAACCACTTACCACAGGCGAAAGCGAATACCGTCAAGAATTTCATTTTCCTCGGACTGACCTGGGAACTCCTGGGCTCGGGCCGGCTTATATAGGACGGTTCCAGTTTGCCATTGAACAGCCCTAGAATCGATTATATTCAGTGATGGTCATGCCCATCGATATGGCAAGCTTTCTGGTTTACCTTGCATTTTCTTGGTGGAAATTAATCAATTAAAGACTCGAACAAGTTACATTTATGACTCAGATCAAATTGTAAGTTTCACACCTACCAATCTTAAGGGAGTGTTGGTACCCGTAGTGTCAAAGAGTGTACTGTATTCGTTGAAGAGAATCGTATATATATATAATATATATACCTATTCTAAATCTGGTTCAGGAACAATGAGATATCAGGAACTTTCAGGATAGAAAGTGGTTGTTGTTTCACCATCCGCAAAGGCCCACTTCAAGGCTCACAGCCAGCGAAGAACTGTAGGTCCATGATGCTTAGAAGTTTATATAAGATTCTGTTCTCAATAATGATCGTTGTAATAAACATTTTGAAGATCTGAATATTTTTGAGTAATTTATTAATATATTAGGGTGATTAGAAGACAAGGAACAAACCGTCAGTTTAAAACATTTCTAATTGTTAAGGTTACAAGGTTTTAGCACCTTGTTCCGTGATAGTTGCCCAGATTTCAATGTCACTTTAACCTCAAAATTAGTATTTCTTAACATTCTAATCAAATATGGAGAATATCCAGCGATATTTTATGATTCCAAAGTTCCTATATATGCTATATATATTTTATTTATCGAGTCTACATAGAATACGGTTTTGAGTTCTCCCATGCGGCATGCGAATCAGGTCACCTTTCTTTTGGGGGGTAAACTGCGAGCCTAAACCACACTTAACAAATAATTCTAAGCATGTTGTTTGCATTTCAACCCGGGGATAAAATTTTATTTCGTATTTCCTCATATATCTCCGGATATTTTATATGGTGTTCTGTGTGTTGTCTTCTGATTCCATGGATAATTGATGTTATTTTTCCCCTCAGAGCCATGTACTTGTGCGCCATTTGGGCTTAATGTAATAAACAAGAAAGCTTGAAAGATTTGGCAGAAGTATGTTAGGAATATTAACTAGAAACATTTTAAAATATTCAACCTACCCATTCCGGCAAGAAGGTTAGTCAAATGCATTGCGACTGCACAGCTGCTTCGAATCAATGTGCTCGAATCGTTTGCCTGCCACTTTATAACGCGCATTCAAGCCTCAAAGAGTGCCTTTCGCCATAAAATCAATCAATTTACAACACATCACCGCTCCAGTCATAAAAATATATGGATTGCTATGATTTCAGAGACAGACTTTGGTTGGCAAGGGCACGCTTTACAAGGTAACTTTTGAGATATTTCTTCATTGTGGAAAGGAGAAGTTTTCAGAAAGTTAAATCTTTTATTAATGATTATTAGTATACCAGCGTTTTCAACCGACAATAAAACATATTTCTTGATAGGATAAATTGATATTATTGATAGTTAACTGTACCAACCTCAGCTATCCGTGCGCGCGAAGCTAAAACCACTTGGGAATTATAACCTCCTCGCTTTTGGAATTCGTTCTGCTAGAATTTGTCCCACGGTGTACCAAGCTAAGTTATTTGGACAGACCGAAATGCCAACCGTTTCAAATGCGTTTCGTTTCCATATTTAATCCAGTTGGAGAAAAACAAACATTCCTATGTACAAAACTTGAGTATTTGGAAGTACTAAGAAAACTGAGCGTCGTTATGAAGATCCATCTCATAATTGGTATGTCCGAGCCATTGTATATACTGCTTATGCTAATAATTTGACATCTACTCGAAGTCTCGATAATATTGCAGGTAGCCAATGCGGAAAACGAGTGCACGGACTGCGATTGGGAAAAGGATGTTCATTGTGGAAAGGCCTCTGATGGCTCCTGTGTGTTCTCTGCCCTGAACCGGTGCCAAGTTGAGCGTATCTCATGCCGTCGCGAGCAAAAGGGACTCCCATGTAAGAGGAGAACAAATATGTTTTCCAAATTGGTTGGTGCATCAATTCTTATCCATTCATTTCCACAGCTTTCACCGAAATTGTCAAGGGGAAGTGCCCGAAAGGCAAGCCGAGGTGCCCGAGGCCGTAAAATATATTCTTCAAGGTCAAAGTTGATGAAAAATCCTTTCTAAATATTTTATATTTTGATTTGATTTATAGTGGAAGGCAATGACAACTGTCGCTATTTTTGTAATTATCGGTGACTAAATATAATTTTAATTCCTCAATTTTGTACTTTTTATCTTGGTTTTGAGTGAGTCAAGTATTCAAAAAAAATAAATAAAATTAAACTAATCCAACCGACCGAGAAATTTAACAAATTATACATATTTTGGACTTTGTATTTTTTTTATAAATCGTCGCTTTCTCTATGTAATTTTCAAAACACATTCATTTACGATTGTATAAAAATCAAATCGCCACAATTTGTCATAATATTTTTTCTTACTGTTCTGACTCGACCTATTAAATTTGGAATCTGTGCTTTTAAGTGGTCGCCACTTTTGTTGTTTTCTGCGGCCTGAGAGCTTTTAATTCGGACCTTAATTTGTTGTAACTTGCAAGGAGCCTGTAGACCCTGTGTCTAAGGTTGCTGCACTTTTCAACTTGACCCAAGATATGGGAGTGCAGCTTTCGGATAAGCTGTCGCTGCAGCGAATTGATCATCTCGAAGCGGTTCGCCTTTCTAAAACTCTTCATGCAAAACTCCTTGGAGCTGATGTTCGGTTCGTTGACCTGCAAGGATATGCCCAGGGTTTGCTCTTCACCAGGCAAACCGACTGGGGCCTTAAGCATTTAGAAGAAAATGCACGATTTCGGTTAGTTACCGGTATTGTTTTGGATGGTCCTTAGAATATATTGGAGGTCGAGATTATCCTGGCTGGTGGCTAAAAGGACCCAAGTCGTCACTAAAGGAGAAAAAGTTATGTTTTTTAAAGTTTTTTTTCACACTGTTCTTACCCCATATAAATATTTGAATAAATTTGTATCCATCATTATATCCATTCATTTGGGATGGGATTTGCCGAAATGCAAACACTCGTTTCGGTCTCCTATTTGCGATGCAAACACTTATTTAATTTTTTTCTCGGTGGAAAGAAGATTAATGGAATTTGTATCTGGGTGTTCTTTCGCATTTACACTACTTAGAAAATAATTTCTGGATAAAAACGGCCATATAGAACGGTTGTATTTAGGGAGAAGCTGTTAATGTTGAACAAATGTTGTGATTTACTTTTCTATTTTGGAGTAAGTGCAACCAATAAGTGGGAATATTTTAATATGTCACTTACAAATATTATCAATCGAACTTTAGTGCATCCCAACTTCTTGGCTCAAACAAAACGTTACACAATTATATAGAAGAAGATAGTTAACACCACAAATTCAGAATGCTGCCATTCCCATTCTTATTAGAGTTTTATTGGATATTGGAAAGTTACATTTCAATTTGGGCCAAGGCTTTCTACATTATTAGGCATTTACGGATTCAGCTTGAGAGCAGATGAATACGGGCCATCTTGCACCCAACTGCTCTTCTCTGTCAAAACCCACTCCACCAGTTTTTTAAACCCAATCCTGTACATTTTCGTGCGCCCCATTTTCCCTAAAGAGCTTTTCGCTTTTCAATTTGTCCAACGTTACATAAGTGTTTTCGTGATCCGTGATTAGGAAAGGTTTTTGGATGGAACCGTTGGTGAAACTGCACAAGGGCGTGCATTATTTGTAAATGAAATGGTTAATAAGCAGATGGAAATCTAGCATTAAATATCGATAATACCTACTTTAAAGTTACTCGAAAATTGGACTAATGGAGAATAAATAGGGAATTACGCCGTGCAATGTCTTTAGAGAGTTTCACAATGAACGAGACCGAAATCGAAAGTTAATGTCTCGCTTTCAGCGGAGTATTAGGCCAAAATTAGCTAGAAGTGAAACGCAACCGACCAATATTTGCTGCCTTCGTCAACTTTAAAGCGCATTATTAACGTAAAACGTTCTTGGCCCACACCGAACCTCAGACTATGAGAATAATTATTAATTATTAACTGGCCAAAAAAGAAATCGGTTCGCATAATAAATCATCAAGCATTAATATATCACTTTAATTACGAGACTGCAAGCAGAAAACAAAAATAAATCACGCGAAATGTAGACATGCGTTTTATTTAAATATCAATACGTATTTATAGCTTAATACAGAGCGGTTTTAGCAGTAGTTGACAGTTTATTCAGTTAAAAATGAGCTGAAATTATAAAATTTTGTTAAAGTATAAAAGGATTCAGGGAATAGCTTACCTGCGAAAGCTAAAAAAAACTCGACAAGAGGTCGAAAAATGAGTATAAATGAGTTATGCCCTTCCATGTGTTGGATACTTCGACGCCTTCTCACTTGGCCTGGCCAAGGTCCTGGCCACCTGGCGACGATTTGGCCAGGACCTCAGCGGAAGCCCTTCAGTCCCTTGACCCACACTCCCGTTCTCGTCTCTGATCCAACTGCCGATGCCACCTGTTTGGGTCGCCAAGCTGTCACCCTTCAGCTGCTGAAAGTTCGTTTTTTATTTGGTTTTGCTTTAAAAGGTCCTCTTAAGCCGCTCGTGGCACTTGCCACTTGAACAGACGCCGCAATCGGAAGTTGCTGCTTGTGATATTGATACCGATGCCATCGGGCAGCCGATATCAGCTGCTTCTTTGCAATACTGCCATTCGGTTGGGGCTTGCCAATTGAGGGGTTCTCGATTAGGTTAAGTGGTGTTTAGACATCACCTTGCTCCGATTCAAACAACTTCCAAATCCTATCATTTCGTTTATCTGAAGAGGTCTTAACAGGCCTCCATTGTTGGTCTAAACAAGCGTTTGAATTCCACCGCGGTGCATGCAACGATTGCATGAACAGTAGCTTACGCCTCACAGTTCTGCCCCTTTTCGGTTTTATTTATGGTCTTCGGCTACTATTTTTAGGGAATCTGCTCAGCACGCAAAAAGTTGGTAGCGAGGGGAAAAGGGAATCGCAACCCACTTGACAGACTTCGCTTCCATCCGGAGCAGATGCAGATGGAGACTGAGATGGAGATGGAGCTGCAGATGCAGAGCAACAGAAGTGTGTTTGGGGATTCGAGCCCTAGCATTTTTGTTTACAATTGGAGCACGTCTGTTTTGGCTGTGGCAGCTGCTGGCCATTCGCCATTAACTTGCAGCCGGCCAAGTCGAGTCGGCAATTACAGCAACATCCGCGTACAGGCTGAAGTACCCTGAAGTACAAAACTTTAGTTTTATTTATGCTTAGGTTTGATAAATTGACGAGAAACATTCTTTAAATATCAAAATCCTGTTTTAAAAAATGTTTTTTCTTTAGATTGCCAATGCACCTGTGAAAGAGTTGAAGATTGTGCTTTTCCAGTGGCACTTCAAGTGCAGCTATGTGGGTTTCACTGTATTTAAGCTGGGCAAATAGCGACTTCTGTAACTGGAACTCACCTTCTCAGCGCCTCCGTCTGCAACCCGACTGGATCACCAGCATGTCACGCTGGACCCCAAGAACGCTCCTCTGCCAGGGCCGTTGTGTACTTTTCACACGGCTATGTGAAAAGCGTGCTATGATACCATTTTCATGTCCACGCCGTGTTCCACAAATATTTAACCGTTGGGCGGTGAAAGGCATTTAGCTACAAGATGTAATTTTTTGTACTCCCCAGCAGGGGTCAAGCTGTGACACTCTTTAGCCATACCTATTCGATTTCCCTCCACATGAATGCCCTTTGGACAATATTTGTATTCGAGGGTCTGCTGCTCCACTCAGCAGACAGAGAACGTACGGACAGACATCTATCAATTTGGTAAATGGCGACCTCTAATTAGGGTCTGATTCATGAGGATTCATGAATTCTTAATTGCCGCCCCGGGTCAGTTGCATAAGTTTGCCGTGCTCCAACTAATTAAATCACCCTCAGTAGGTAAACAAACAAAATCGGTTCCGCATTTTTCGCTCAATTTTTCACAACTCTGCGAATCCATCACCGACATCCACTCATCAACTTCATCTATCATAATCTAATGAATTTTACTCTGCTCTTCAGCTGGTTTTTGCTTCCTTTCCGTCCGCAAATTATCGAGCAAACAAATGAAATTTTTCTATGTTTTTGTTTTTGGTTCGTTAATGATAATTTCACTTTCATTAACAATTTTTGGACTTTTTGACTTTGTCATAATTAATTTTTCAACTTTTGCTTTCCTTCGCTGTGTCTGATAGGTTAAAAAGCAAGACATGGCAAAAACCCAAGCTAAACCTTTGTCGGAATTAAACGTTTGAACTTTCCTTTGCTCGTTTCAATTTGCATGAGGCCAAAGTTCAAAACTTATTACTTGCTAATTGCGTTTGAAGATATAGGTACAGGATTTCAGCTTAGACGAGGCAGTCTCAAATTGATTGCTGTGGTCCATGCAAATTCGATATATCTTGCCATATCTTTTGGTATACATAATCAATCTGTAAGGCTCCTTAAATATATCCCAAATAGGTTGGAATATGACCTTCATAAAAGTGTTGGATACCAATGTACAAATCGATTCAAAGGAAAGGTTACAGTAAATAAGTTATAGTTCGGTATTTCTATGATTTCACAAAATTACAAAGTTGAGTCGAAATGAGCCGCAAATGTTAGTTAAGGCCATATGCTCTAAGAACTCTGAGATTTATTATATGCTTCCAATCAGAAAACTCGGGGCCGCTCCTCGCCCTTCAACTTTGGTCACTTACATACAAATGTAGCTCTGCCCAAGCCCATCCGGCGTCGCTCGACCGCGACTCCCCCTCCCATCGACACAGCAGATTTCCACGAGGAAACCCACATGCCGGCAAAGTCTGACTGGAAACCAGTTTCCTCTCGTTCTCAAGAGAGCGAACTAGTTCGCCCGCTCACTCGCCCACGGCAGACGGTAGCTCGAGCACCAGCCCACTCACCAACTCTCTTATTTCCCCCAATTCAGCTCAGCTAGCAGTATCTCAACATATCACTCTGCTTAGAATCGTTAATTAATAAATGATGAAAATATTTTGCGACCCGAACCCGTTTCAAGGATAAAAAGTTTATTACGAAAGATTTTATTGGTTTCGAGCTTGAAAAAGGTTTAAAAACTCAGAGGCTCCACCAAAGGGAATTACGAATCCTTTGAAGCAGAGACGTTTTACACAAAGTTAATGGTATTTTCTTTGAGTGCAGAGAGTGCGAGACAGCGAGCACACTCACCCACACCTACGTCGTTTCGATCCGCTCACTGGCTAGCCGCTCTCTTCGTTTGGCGCTCTCTCTCGGCTGAATGCGACTCTCAGCGGGTTAGACCTCGCAGACGCTAGCCGTGCGGCTTCATTGCGTTGGAAAACACTGACGAGTCCGGTCTACTTGCTTCTGCGCTGTATAATTTCCAACACTTCGTGGTGGCTAACGGTAGCAAGTCAATCTGAACGAAAGTGAACGTGCGGGCAAAAATAAAATCGGGTTCAAAAATAAAATTGGTGCGCTTGTCAGATCAAAAATAAAAATAAGTGAACAAATTCCGACAGAGATTGAAAGTGCATCGCCAAACAAAAATCACTGCACCTGCTTCCTGAGTGCACCTGTTTCCCAAGTGACGTTGCCCTCCGCAGGCAACACGTACGCACACACACCTTTGGATACGCGAAGCGATGTGCCGTGCATGTGAAGTACATATAACTTAATGCCAGCCAAAGGGCCGTAAAACAAACGAGGCTGAAACAAAAACAGTGCGACCTTGTCTTGTCTTCGCCGGACTTCTTTTCCGCCATCCATCAAAGTCGGGCTGTAAAGTCTGGAGATACGCGCAAATCACATTTGGATAAAACATCTCACTGGCTCGAAGGTAAGCCCCAGTTCGGTGGATATCTGGTCTAGTTTTCGCTGCGGCCCAATATTCACTGTCTTCCTCTAGAAAGTTTTGATTGGTGGACGAGATCTGGTTGGCCGATTGGTTTTCATCTCGCTCCGTCGAAAGTCCAGAATTTTCTCAGCCCACTCTCCTTCTTTTCTCAATCGTCGAATTGCGGCAAGATCTCGGGGCATTTTCGCTGGTCAGAGTTGGTTGAACCCGAAACGGTAACCAACTTGCTGGCAAGTCATTTCCTCCTCCCCGAGGTCATCTGTGGGATTATAATGCAAATACGGAGTTTGTGGACATCATCGTCCGGTTCTTGGCCCCCGACAACTGCACATCCGTAGATCTGCAACTCAACAATTTGCTCAGCATTTTTATGCAAATGCTTCAAATTTCCATCGGGGGCCACACAGGCAGACAAAAGACCTTCCCAGCTATTTTTTGAAAATGCATAAACATTTCATTAATTAGTCAAAGTTGGTCTGTTGCCCGATTATGAGTGCCACTAAGCCTGGGTCTCGAATAGCAATTTGATTTGATGAATATCTCGCCGATTTCGGTGAGAAAACCCGTCTCTTTTGTTTCGAAAACAGATGAATGAAGTCGCTCAGGTCAGCAATGGCGCTCGTTGGGGGATTCCGATTAAGAATATCATAACAACCGTGTTGTTTGGCTAAGGTGCTTCGTAGCCTCCAGCGCCTGGGAATCTTTCTAGTTAAAGCAGTTCTACATAAGAGTCTCGTTGGTAGAGAATATCCGAAGTAACTAAGCTCATACCAACTTCAATGATAGCGGTCTTGTTGTTGCTGGCTTTTGGATCATTTCGCTATTTATATTGAAACCGAATTAATATCCTCTCGTGAAACGAGAGAACTTGATCTGGAACATTGTCTTGCTTCAGACATTGAATAGCACGTTAGTACAACCAAGTGTAACATTGTCTCTGTTGGCTTCTATTTGGCTAATTAAAAATCAGGAAATGCACAAGAACAATGCGCTTCGTGGGATTCGTTGTGCTGCGATCCCATCCTGCGGTTCATGGTTCTACGTGAGGCATATATTGGGTTTTGGGCCTACCTGCTCGTCCGCTACTGTCAAGTGCGGTTTTCTACAGTGTAACGCCCTTTTCGGCATTGGTAGCAGGTATGGTTTCTAAATCCGTGCTTTAGAAACGTTACGTCTGTTGGCTGATAACTGGATAAACGTGACCCTTGAAAGGATATTCGCCTCATTTAGTCTTCGTACTGCACCCACGTACTTAGCAGGGCGTTTTGAAGGGAAGTAGATTGTTGATTAATGGATGGAGGAGAGGGCGCGGAGGAAGTTAAGGGTGGTCTTGCTAAGGGGTAATTTATCTTTAGCCGGAGATCTTGGCTCTTACATTTCAATTTGTTCTTGAAACTTGAAAGATGTTTGTATTATTATTTCGTTAAAAACTCAGGCTTCCATTGAATACATATAACTTGGGTATCCACAAACGATTTCTATAATCCGTTTGGTAATTTATGATGGGCTTTATGGCTTTCGGAAGTTGTTGGCTCCATATACAGTTAGGTATTGTTTCTTCATTAAGCCAAAGACACACCCGCGCAAGCATTGGAAAGACAAAAGCATTTGTCAATCAATAAAAACTGTACAAAATTGGTTATAAAATGGAAAAACTCGAATTTGTCTTACATGACTTTTGTATTTCAGAGGTACTTGCCGTATTGCCGATAGTAACAACAAACTTTAACTACTTAAATTAAGTTATTTCATTCTGAGATCATGCATATCTGCTGCTTGGTAAAACCTTCCTTATAGCCAAACTTGATTTGCAACCTAAAATATTCACAATTCCATCGAACCGGGGTATTTCTGAAGACCTTTTCGCATGGCAACCTCGATTCACGTATTGCGCTAACTTGGCTAAATTACAGCGAAAATCGTACTGAGTCAGCGCCTTTAAAGTGGTAAATTCAATAAACAAGTTCAGCAGCGAAATGGAAAAATAATATACGACTTCTTTATTTTAAATTATGGCACAAAGTCAGCGAAAATGGAAGTTGGCGCTGTTACTCCCGCTGTTGGCTCCCCGTTGATATTTTTGTTGACACTTCGTTTTGTTAACAATTAATTAACAGAAAGCCAAGGTACACACAGCCCCTTCACTGTTTGTTTTCGGTACACCACCTGTGAAATGAAGTGCCGTAAAGCAATTATGACGCCTTACCCACCTGTATCTAGCACTACAGGTTATAGTTCGGAACGATTGGGCTTTGGGGAGTTCGTGCTAAGTGGTTCCTCATCGATTTGGCATTCGGTGAAACCTGTATTAGTCATACGAAGCAGATTTGAAATTCAGATTGATTACTGCGAAATCGGTGCTAGAGAATGTGCTTAGGCTGTTCCTACTGAAGTACCGGAGAAATGCCTTTCCAAATTTCCCTAGACTGCAAACTTCGTTTTTCCTTCATTAAGTTGTACGGACAAGATAACGTTACCTCGTTTTATGGCCAAGATGATTATCTCAAACTTTCTTCCGTCTAAGCGTGGCTTCTACTCTTCGTTTTCTCGCCTTTTCCAGTAGATCGGGTGATCCATTAGGGCCCGTTGGAAGCAGCTTCTGGCCACCTTTCGTTTGGGGCTCATCCCTCGTAAAACTTTCATTCGACCGTAAGTCTAACTGCGAAATGTATCTCGCCAGGGCCATCTTATCGAGTGGGAAACCCTGCTCGGCCTTAACTTTCCACCGCCGGATGGCAACACGTGCCTCCGCTCCGCCCACCTGCGGAAGCGTCAATTCTCACGGCCAAAAGAAGAGCAAGCTTCTCGGCCCGCATTTGTTGCTGCAAAAGCTGGCCCAAACCGCAAAATGCAACCGCAAGTGATTTTGTTGCTCTCGACTTGGCTCTTTCTGCTGTTGTTGCCTAAGTTTCCCAGGTCCCGTCCTGGGACAGGAATTTGTGCCTTGGTCTCGAACTTAATGCACTGTGGGAATGCGGAATGGTGGGACTACAAGTTGATTGCCTCGCTCCTGCTGCCCCTCTGGCCGAAGCAAGTGGACAAGTCGGGATTCATTAACTGCCCCTGCAAATGCAACTTTTACTCGCCTTTAAAACACTCGTATCCCCCGATTCCCAGCTGGCTTCGACTGCCTGGTAATCAATATGCGTGTAGCACCCAGTGGTTGGGGGCAAAAAGGGCTTAGGCCGGAAACTCACCGGATTATAAAAAACGCTGTACTGAGCTGAGCCAAAGAAAAAACCGAAGCGCCTGCTCACTTTGGAGCTCTATTTGGGCGTTATTAATTTCTGTACATCAGTCAGTGCCACGACGGCCAAAGCAAAAACTTGGCACAAAAACGAAGGCCCAAAACCAGAGCAGGGGTAAAAAACTACACACAACTGCATTTCTCGCTCTCCCCTCACTAGCCGTGATAAATCGACCAACTTAAAGGCTGTTACTGCCGCCCCAGCTGGTCACTCGGCTACTGTTGGCGAATGACAAGTTGAGGACTTCTTTTTCGTTGGCCCATCATGCGTTCCAAGGGCTCTGCTGCAGGAAGCTCCAGAGGACCTCTCCCAGGCGACTTAATTGTGCGTTTGCAAATTTGTGTGAGAATCGGTTGGCAACTTTTCTGGCCCTTTGCCCTTCCAGTTCGTCTTTGTGACCGACGTTTCGGCCCCTCCGGACGGTTGCAGTTTACAGTTTTCTGTGATTGCGCCGAGGACCGTTTGATTTGTGCCACTGGACAGAAGTAGTGGAGGTCACTCGAAAAGAGATCAACTTTCCGTCTTCCGTTGCCACGTTGACGATATCAACTGCCAGCCTATGAGCAGCGCCTTGAACCTCGACTTCAAGGGGCTGCTCCACCAATGTAAGTGAATCACCCGCAGTACCATGCCCATGTGAGCGCTTATCATCCATCGGTGCCTTCTGAAATAGGAGCAAGGCCCGCTGCAAATCCATCCCGCGGTCGCGCTGCCCGTAAGATAAGCCATATATCAGAGGGCTCTTAATATAGAGACTGCTTATTATTAAAACAACTTAATCGACACTCCAATAAGCATAACTCTGGAGAGAGAACTGAAGATATATGGAAAATATTAATTGTCCGCGCCGAAGGGGAAGCTTCCCCCGGCTTTCATCGTATTTATGGAGTATGGACGAAAGAGTGGCATCAAAAATAAATATTACAGCCTGTTCCCGCAGCTCATAACTTCATTAGGGCGAGGCGTAGTCTTCCCGGAATTTCGGGCTCTTCAGTTTATTTTAAAGTGGGCGAGATGCAGTTGCATGCCAACATGTTGCTTTTTAAGGCCAAGCATTTATGATTGTTTGGCCTGTTGTGACTGGGAAGGCATTAGCGGGGAATCACTATAAGTGTGGGACTCAAATTTGTGTAGTATTTTTAGCTGATTTATCCGAAACAAATGTGCAATTTGCATGGGGGAATGCCGTTTTGTACGTCTCCCAGCTAAGACAAAAGGCAACCTTGCCTTGGATCACAATCGAAAATTCTACTGGGAAAACTGCCTTTGTGCGGGCTTTGAATGGGGTTGCGTTTCCGAAAAGTCCGCATATAGGTTTGCAAAACATTTTGAACACCCATCCGAACGGGATCTAAAATAAATGGCGCAAAACGACTTTAAATAATTTATTGACAGCCGCAAAAAGCAGAACACAATACCTAAGCGGCTTCCGTGGAAAACTGAAATCGAAATCTCGCTTGCCTTTTGTAATTGTGCAAATCAGCCAAAGGTGGAAAAGTAAAAAGTTAAAAGCAAAAGAAACCCCGCACTCTTGCTTTGAATTTATAATTTCCGTCCAGAACCGAAAGCCTTATGCTTTTTCGGTTTTATTTCGGTTATTTAAAATTTATGAGGCGGCGAACGCTTTCGGTTTGCAGAGCGTTTGAAATATGACAGGATTTCTGCAGATTTATGAATAGTTGCCTTAAAAAAGCAGCGAGCCAAAAATGGAGTGCAATATAAAAAACAGCGCCA